ATCGTAACATTGTTTTAAACGTTCTATTCCTGCAGCATTTTCTTCATTAATAGTAATATTTTCAATAACATTTTGAAGCGCGTAACCTAAAGTTTTTAATTTTGAATATGGTTTTAGATATTTTCTTAACGTTTTAGTTTTTTTAGTTATTATAAAAGATGGTTTTGGATACGAAATTTGAATTTGTGATGGTTCATTTTCTTCGGGACTAAAATTTTCGATAAACGGTGACAAAGGGGAAAATGCTGATGAAATAGGGGAAATATTTCTATTATATTCAGGATTACTTTTTTGTGAACAACAAATCAATTCTTCGTCATCAGAATCATTAACAAGCAGGGTTATTAAATTATTTTTTAAATTACCTTTTGAATTGGCTAACGAAGTAGCTACACTATCATCTAAAATTTTTTCCTGAGAAGGCCATGTTAATAATTCATCACATTTTATCACAGAATCATTTTTGTTATCGGTATTGTCAACGATTATTTGTGTATGTGTTAAAAAGTCGTCTGTTATCACGTCCTCACTGTTGTCAAATTCGTTTATAAATTTATTTAGTTCGTTATTTATGTCGATGTCTGTAGTAATATCCAATTTTGTGTCAATAGAAGTTGATTCTGTATTTAAAATAACACGAGGATTTGAAAAGTTTTTGAAGGCAACAACTTGCAATAAATTAATTTTGTGGTCCATTTTAAAAAAAAATATTTACCTAAGTAGGTTCGTCTCCTTTCGCTTTAACCGTGAACTCAGATTCTTCCATCTTAGGTTAATGATCCCCCCCCCTCCCTTTTTAAGGGAGTTAAACTATCTACTTCTTCCCTAGGAGGAGAGTCTAATACACTAAAAACAGATTGATTTGTTTGTTGAGATTGTAATTGCAAAGTATTTACTTGAACAGATTCGCTCATTTTCAAAAGGTGTCTTCGATGTTACTTATGTTCAAACTAAATATGTTCTGACTTGTAAGAAGAATGAAAATAAATATAGTGGGGACAAAAGAGAGTGGGGACAAAAGGGAGTGGGGACACAAGGGAGTGGGAAGATATAAGTGTATCTGAGCGGTATTGGAAGGGGAGGAGGAGCAAATGAGGAGGAGGAGGTAGAAATGATAATTATTATTTTTAAATATATATTTGGAACTGCTGGTTTTAGTAATTATTAAATTAAACGAACTAAAAAGTCTTAAAAATAAACAATTCTTAACCATAACCCCAAAAAATGCAGATCTCCTGTCAACTTTCTTTATTTTTTATTTATTCCTTATTTTCCTAGTGACGTCAAAGGTGGTATGCGCAAACTGAACGAAATTGGAGCCGCTATCGATCATACCTTGTTTTCTTTGTACCATGACTGTGAATTGTCTAACATTCCTTGGCATCTAGCGACTACGACTTTTATTATATTCCTGGCGCATTCGCCAACTTATATTACAATAAGTAAACATGAAATAATTGTAAATACTTGTTTAATGGTATTTCTAGTGTTGATTGAAGAAATCGTCATCCGTCCGTAGCGCCTTTTGCCAGAATATTTATATTTGTGTTGGGTTCACCAATACTGTACGCAATTTTGAAACTGATGACAATTATACAGGGTGTCCCAGAAATAAGTGCAAGTATTTTAAGAGGTGGTAGATCTCGATAAAAGAAGCATATTTTCTCTTCCTCGTTTTTCAAATAAGTCCAAAATAACGGAGTTATTTTACTGTAGCGTTTTTTTTATAAACATTACCACTGCGAACGGCAGCTTTTCGTTGGTAGAGCAGTCGTGGATAAGGTATTTCACTGGAAAGAACTAATTAACAATAATAACTCGAAATTATAAATATTGGGCGCCAGGCATGTACAGAGAAAGAAAACACAGTTGTATATTACTTAAAACTAATGATTATATTTCATGATGTTCTTTGCTGGTACATGACATTGTAGAATTCTAATAAATATATAGTGGTTATATGTAAAAAAATGGTGTTAAGAGTTGTACTAAATATCTATGAAAGTAATACCATTACAAGACATAATGTAATGAAACCTAAGATCTAAATCATATTTTAAATATTAAATCGACATGAATGTTCGTAACAATCTAACCACTAAACATAGTCTGTACGATATTACTTAAGATGTACGTTACTGTTTAAGACTGAAAATGTTTTAAATGTTAAATGTAAAACTAGAACTTAAATCTACGCTTAGCTGTTCTTTATGTAATCTTGTTTCAAACAGTAACAGCGTGAGGTGGGCTCGCATCTCTATACTGTCTGTCGGCGATCCTGTTGGCCAAAACAACAAAAGGGGCCAGAATGAGGACACCATGAATCAATACAGTCGTAGCTACTGACTAGGCTTAGATATGGGAGCGAAGCAGCATGGGACTTACGCTGTATCCATACTGTGGCAATATGGGGACACTACCCGTACCTTGGAACACTACTAGGACCTTGGATAATGCCCGAACCTTGGAATCAATACATAGATATGGGACACCTGCTCATACCTTGGACACAGTCCGTCCATAAGACAATGTACGTCCATAAGATAATGTACGTCCATAAGACCCTAAGAATACGAAACTCTTGTTTAGAACCAAACAAGATCTAATAAACAAAATAAACCTACCTCGAAACACTTCCGAGGGCTCAATAATAACCAAAGAAACTGTCCTTTCTTCCATGTAACATTCTGGAGGACAAAAGAAAAGGGACACCAACGTGCCAGCAAAACACAAATACAAGTTAAGTTGGGACATCCAAAACTCTACCCTAAAAATATGCAGTAATAATATCGAATCTAAAAGGATAATATTTCATCTTTACCTGTTGCTTTGAAATAGCAGCTGATTCAGATTATACAGCAAGATTTAAATAATCACCATTTCTAAAAGCCGGGATGGTTAGGTTAGGCTACAGAGCGCTAAAAGCAAAAGTGAGTCCACAGCACAGACAGTTGACAGAAGCGATGTTGACAGCGCCTCCACAGAGCGATAACAGGGTTGTGTCAAACGATAACAGGGTTGTGGACTAGAGAACGTAAAAATTACGCCAAGCGCGTCAAATAAATTATCCGGCCTGAACGATACGGAATCCGATGACGATACGCCAGACATCATATAAATCATATATAAAAAATACATGTAACGAACTAAAAACGTTACATTACTTCGAAAATTTCCAAAAAAAATGATTTTTTGCTAAAATTTTGAGAACCACTGGATCTTTTCTGGATTTTCTTTCTATTATATTTAATTTAATACCTATGTTGCCATATTATCAAAAAATAGCGAAATTTCGCGAAAAAAAACTGATAGGCGTATTTCTGGGGTTGAGATATACTACCAGTTAAAATACTTGCACTTGTTTCTGGGACACCCTGTATAAATAATATTAATGCTCTACAGCTGTATACCTATTATACCCTAGGTTAATTATGATTAACTTACAGTACGCGTATAGGGGTACATTTTATTTATGGGGAACATTTTATTTATAATTTTAAAAATGAGCGTGGGTTGAACAATTGATGTAATTTAATGTTTGGACATATTTGTACCGTATGATCGAAATAAAATGGCGTCCAGTTGGCTGGGAAATGACGATCGATGACATTTCCCATATAAATTTACATATAAAATGACAGCGATCTTCATTTCCCAGCCAACTGGACGCCGTTTTTTCTCGATCATACGGTATAACTGACAAGATATATCTACGTTCAATATTGTTTCCTTGAAAAAGATCAAAATGCGATCGAAACGTTGGAATACTAGTAAAGATTATCCTAATTTCGAATTAAATTGTATTATTAAAAGCAGACCAAAGACCAAGAATAAGTTAACCATAATTATACAAGAGGGGGCCAAAGAAGTAAACAAAAAATAAATTATACCCTGGGTATTTATACATCTATAATAAATGATAGAATTTCTAAAGTTAATTAAATTTATATTGCCACCTGTATTGTTGAAAACAGCAAATTGATATTTGATTACATATGGATTACCACCTGTATATAAAATGACACGGAGACCTGGAATATAGCGTCTAACCTGGTTAGACCTTTTGCGCATGTTGACGCTCATTATCCCTTCCATATCTCTGGTACTAAACTATAGACGAACAAAATTACCTTCGTAAAAGTACGTGTGTGAAGATCACTATCGATTTCGGTCTTAATGCCATTTAAAGGGTCCTTACACGCAACGATTTGATCAGCATGCCAAATCGTACAGTTCAGATTTTAAGACCAAATCGATAGCGATCTTTTCACTACTAATTTTGTCCGTCTATAGTTTAGTACAGATCTCGCCAAATATGTGGTCTATGTTACAGTTAAAAATATTGTCAAGGTGTATGTGGCGCCATCTGTGGGATAAGCGAGCAACTAAAACCGCAACGTGTCAAGAAATCTGAAGACATTTTTTTTGTTGCAGCGCCATCTCTTAATCGACAAGTAAGCGAATCAGACAATAGAATGTACTAGTAGATGGTGGAAAGTTACCGATAATTTTAGAATGTTCCGGAAACACTCACCACAGCTATATAAAAGGGCGCGACCGGCAGTTAGGCCAAGTTCAGTTTTGAAGTTTGAATATACCGCGTTTGGAAATTGTGAATCGGACAATTTGGCGAAGGAACTTTATAAATAGTTGTGTGTTTAAGTAGTAAAAATTGTGTGTAAATTAAAAGAAAAATAAATTAGGAAATGGACCCACGAAATCCGTAACAATATTCATCATGTTGAAAGATCGTAGATCTCATCTCCTTCATGAAATCTACACACATTACTACACGTTGAGCTTTGGACTGAATCGAGGACTGTACGGTTTAAATCTCTCAGTTATCGTTGCGTGTTCGGCCCTTTTAAGAGTTGTTCCCATACTGGTGATCCTCTCGTGCGGCCACGAGGGCCTATTGTGACACTCATTTTTTTATGTATTTTTTTGAATGTCTGTTTTAATTCTTATTTTGCCTTTAACTATTCTTATTTGTATTCTAGACACCAACGTATTGGTAAATGCAGTTAACCCTGGTAATGTAGAAACTCCAATTTACAGACACTTCCCGCCACTTTCAAACCCCTGGTTCTACGCCGCCCAGTGGCCAATCAGGATAGTCGGTGTCAAAAGTCCGAAACAGGGCTGCCAAACACTACTTCATGCTCTCCTAACCTCAAATCGCTCAACAGGTCAGTACTATAGTGATTGCAAATCCTGCTTACCTAGCCCTATAGCCGGTAACGACAAAATAGCCGCAGAATATTATAACCTCACTCTAGAAGTCTTGGCTGATTGGTTAAATACAGAATCTGAGTGTTAGGACACAAAATGGAGGAGTGGATATCACCAGATGATAAGATACATAAAAAAGTCTTAGTAACTGGAAACAGAGCCTTTAATAAACCTTTCGAAGAAAGTACATTTAAGTTAAATATCTCAGACTGTCCCAAAATACTTGATACTTTTAAGAATAAGACTTTAACTGTAGGAGATAGCAATGGGGATCTAGGCAGGGCTTTAGATATTTGCGTTTGCACTATGCACTTAAATGAAAAAGCTCAGTTTACCATAAGCTTAGATTTAGAACAAATCACTGCAATTATTGAATTAATTGAATTAGATTTTCAAGGGTTTATCTATGAATGGAATGCGAAGAAAAAAATTGATATAGCACTAAAGCACAAAGAAAAAGGCACAGAGTTTTTTAATAGAAAAAATCAAATTGAGGCTGCATACAGATTTACAAAGGCTCTGAAAATACTTTTGTCTATACCTGTAGATGTACAATATCCGCCCGAAATCACTGATGGTATTAAACAAACTGAACTGAAGGCACTAAAAGGAAAGCTCTATAATAATCTATCGTCTTGTTATTTTCGGGAAAAAGTATACAAGCTAGCGATGCCTCTATGCGAAAAAGTGTTAAGCATCGAACCTGATAATGTTAAAGCCCTGTATAAAATAGGGGTGGCCTCCGAAATGGAAAAAGACTATGATAAAGCATTTTCGGTTTTGGGCAAGGTAATGGAGTTGGAGCCTCGAAATAAAGCTTGCGCGCAACATTTAGCCAGTGTAAAGCAATATCTCAAGAAGGCGGACTCGAGAGTGAATGAAATGATGCGAAAAATGATTAGGGGAAGTATTAGTAAATAAAGTAACTAAATTATTATTGATTATATATTTATTTATTTTTGAAAATATATTAATTTTTTAGTATTATTAAGTGTTTAATTTAAAAAAGTTTCTGGAAAAGAACAATATGTATGTGAAAAATTTGGAAGTCTAAAATATTTCGAAAGGTTATCTATTTCGAAAAGGTATATATATAAAGCTCCTCATACACTTCGGATATTTTGCCCGGTTTTAACCGAACGGTCAACTGTTCAGTTAAAAACATCAGTGTATCAGTGTGTTTGCAGTTTTGCTTGTTCAATACCTGTCATCACTAGATATTTTAACTGGAACCGTGGAACAGTTTCTTTTTTTCGCCCGTAGTTTTAGAAGAGCTTCGCAGTACAATTAATACCATCAAAAATAAATCCTCATCTGGGACCGACGGGCTAACTTTAAAAATGTTTTCGAATCTGCCAGAAAGCACTCTGAATCACCTAACTACTTTAATAAACATGTCATTCCAAAATGGTATTTTTCCAAAATGTCTTAAGACTATTGCCGTCTTAAGACATCATTCCTCTGCATAAAGGAGGAGACAAAGATGAAGCTTGTAACTATCGCCCAACTGCACTCCTTCCAACGCTATCTAAGATTATAGAAAGATTGGTTAAAGGAAGACTGGTATCTTCTGTTTAAGTACAAAATACTTACTGAACATCAATTTGGATTTCTAAGCAACAAGTCCACAAATGACGCTATGTTTTCCCTCCTTAATAAAGTTTACTCCAGTCTAAATAACCATCATTCTACAGCAACAATTTTCTATGATTTTTCTAAGGCGTTCGACTGTGTAAATCATAAGATCCTAATTAATAAACTGCAGCACTATGGGTTCAGGGGAACATCTCTCGAATGGTTTAAGTCGTATCTGAGTAACAGAAGTCAACTTGTGAGGGTGGATACCACGTTGTCTTCTAGCAAGCCAATAGAATGTGGAGTATCACAAGGCTTAGTACTAGGCCCTATCTTGTTTCTTCTTTTTATTAACGATATTGCTAACATAAACGCAAAATATGTCTTTTTGCGGACGACACTAGCTTCACTTGGAGCAACAAGGACGTCACGGCACTTCATAGGATTATATCAAATGACTTAATCACCATTAAATCTTGGTGCGATTCGAACCTCCTGAGTCTCAACATTTTTAAAACTAAAGCTTTGTCGTATAAAAACTCGCTGCAGCCTTTTGTACTTAACAACACCACCATTGACGTCGTAAAATCTGTAAAATTCTTAGGGCTTGTTGTGGACAATTCTCTGAAATGGGACATGCATATCTAAGCTTTGTCGAAAAAATTGAGCTCTGCCTGTTTTGCATTAAGATCTGTTTCTAAGAAGCTTAACTTGTCAGTGGCTAGAACTGTTTATTATGCACTTTTTGAGTCGCACCTCAGGTATGCCCTTCTAGGGAATGCAATCCCGCAAATGCGGGATCCCGCTGAGATTCCGCGGGATCAAAGTTGCGGGATTTACCGTGCGGGATCTGGGGGATTGACACATTACTACTGGGTAACCGAATCGATCTCGATCAAGGTCAAACCGCTTCGTTCCGGGCCGATGCGTCGACGGTCGGAACCCTGGGGATTCCCCTTACGCCTTGACCATTAAAAATTGTAACTATATTGATAATAATAATAACTTGATAGTTAAATTGGTTTGTTTTTGATGTGGATCGCAGTGTGCAATTCGTTCATTTAATTGTGGAATTTTTGAGTTTAGTTCGTTCATTGACCGGATATGAAATATGGCTGAGGAGAAAATATTCTAGAACATCGTTTTTTATTTATGCCTTTTTGTGAGTTGGACTAGTCAAGATATATAGTTCTCTATCTATATCCTGGAGGGAGAAATTTCGGTTGAAATCTGATTTTGTGAAGGAAATCGAATCCTTGCATCACTTTTTGTGTACTATTTTCCATGTCTTTCTCGCGGTTTATTTCTTCCTCTAATTCTACATTAAACTCATTAACATAATTTTTTAAACTCAAAGATTTAGGGATATCTTCATGTGTTTTCGAGTGTCACTCTATTCTTGACAGTGCATCCGCATTCGTATTCAGTTTGCCCTTTTCATAGATGATTTTGTAATCAAACTCTTGACGCTTGAAAGAAAACAGGCATTGGAGTGGCTTGTGATCTGTCACAATGTTAAATTTGCGGCCGTATAGGTACGGGCGAATATACTTTGTAGCCCAGATTAAGAAAAGACACTCCTCTATTGTCGAATCGTTTTTCTCAGTCATTGAGGGTCCTCGTCGCGTAAGCGATATGTAGACCTTGGTCTGTTGGTCCTTCAGAAAAAACAGCTCCAAGGGCGACATTACTGGCGTCCGTAGTTAACTCAAGTTTTTACTTTAAAGGTTTTGAAAAATCGAAAATTACCGGACTATTTATTTTATTCAAATCCATAATTATAACGCAGCCATTTCTTGTGACGGATGAAGAGCATGGAATTTTGCAGTTTTGCAATTTTTGGTAAGGGATAACTGTCTGTTACAAAAAAAATATATTAAAAAAAAGAGAGATTTAATTAATGAATATTAATGGATACATTCAAAACTTAAATATTTATTATAAAAAATGTGAAATAGCTTCAATGTAAAAGTTATATTTTATTTACTAATACTTTTACACCTCAAGCAGGTCAATGCCCATCGGTAGCTCTACGGAGAGTAGGGGGGGTTATATGAACTAAAAGTAAAATATAAATAAGTGCCACTCACTTTAAGACGTTTAGAGTAAAAGTGCTGTTCTTAAACTAAAGTGGGAAATACTAAGCTAAATTAAATAAAACAATTGAATCAGTTGACTCATTTAATTTTACGAAATGTTCCTCATTATTAGTTAGTAAATCTTAATCAATGTGGCTCGGCAAATAAGATTAAATGGCCTATTCAGAACTCAAATGTAAAACAAATCAAATATTTATAATTATGATTACTACCAGATTATCTGCTTAATCTCTAGTACCTCTAAATATATCCAAAATCGAAGATAATATATATAAAAAAACAATCTGCAATACAAAACAAAATTTCAAGTAGTTACAATTTACAGCAGTAAGTTAAAGTGATCTTCAATAGCAGAAAGTCAGTGTTAACTTGAACAGATAATAAAGCTAAAATATTCAATAAATATATCTGTCAAAACCATGAAATTAAATAGATTATATACCCATGTCAAAAGCGACTTAAATTAATGAACGTTCTCATGGTGCTTACATGTACTAGTAAGTTTACATGTATTAGCCGTAATTCACAAGTAAAGTATATCTAAATCTATAAACTTGACATATCTGTCAAATATCAAATATTAAGAAAAAACTATAGTCAAATTCAGCTATATATGACCACTATACCTATATGTCTCTAAATATGAAAAAAGAAAAGGTATTTATCAGACTATTCCAGGGGACGTCTGCCAGGGGATGGGCTGATCGTTGCTCTCAGGAGGTTGATGTATTTTGGTTGTGGATCAAGTCAGTCAGTGGAGATGTCCAGCTCAAAAACTAAATGAGCCAACGGAATGACTTGATCAGGATGCTAGACTGGGTATTGAGAATATGTTACTTAAATTAAAGTGCAACCAAGAATGCAACCAAAAGTGCAACCAATAGTTGCCTGGAAGGAAATCAAAAGGAGAAAATTACCCTCTTGAAATAATATTACAAAATGGCGTACTGCTGACCTGGGAAGTTATTAGTATTGATATAATAGGCCCATATCCTCCTTCGAACGGTGGAGATCAATACATTCTAGCAGTCGAAGATGTATTTACAAGATGGGTTGAGGCCAAGGCTTTTCGAAAAATTAACGCTACCACTATAATTGAGTATGTAGAAACTGAAATCTTTTCTCGATATGGTTTTCCTTTTAGAATTATATCCGATAATGGACCGCAGTTTGTAAGCCAACCGTACTTGAGTATGGATAGTCAATATCAAATTGAATTATTTCATACACCAATGTATCATGCTCGAGCGAATCCTGTTGAACGCCGAAATCAAGAACTAAAGAAACTGTTACGAGTATTATTATTTAATCAACCTAAGCAAAATTGGAATAAACAACTTAACGAGACTTTATCTATTTTAAGAACAAGGAATAACGCCGCACGGGTATGTCCTCTTGTAAAGCATTATTTGGATACGAAACATTAGGCCCAGGTGATCATTTATTACCAGCTAAAATGAAGTTACCTAGAGGAGACTCATTGCAAAGCAGAGAAAATCATATCACAGCTATACGAGAAGCTCAGACTAACTTCCAAGCCCAGTATTCTCCACAAATTACTATTAAACAGAAGTTTAATATAGGTGATTATGTTATGGTACGAGATAATCGTCAAATGAAACATGCTTTTGATACTCCATGGTCTGGTCCATATGAAGTAAATGGATTTAAGGGGGCAGTCGTTTATAATATCTTGCGTGAAGGTAAAGATATTCTTGTTCATGTAGACGACATGAGACCTATAAATATTAGCTTTGATCATGATGATTAATTTTCTGACACTGACACAGATGATGAAGCTAGCTCTAACCGTAGTTCTCAAAGTATGACAAGTTCCTTGTCTATTTCTCGCCTAGTCACTTACCATTGCTCCTGATGATTGCCAGAAGTCTACACTCCGTTGAGTCTGACCTCGACAACGAAAATCGTTTACCTGAAAAATCTAACTGTGTTCAAGAAAACTTCACAGTTCTCCTAATGAAACCTGAAGAATTACCTCAACGTACTCGAATCTTTATCAACTCCAAATTACGAACCTCGGACAAGTTCAAGAATAAGACACCCAAGACGATGTCTTTGTGAAGAACATTTAATAATAAACTGTGTTTTGATATTGTTAGAGTTTTTATGCTAGTTTTCATTCCGCTTCATATCTCAATTTAATTTTTGATATTACTAGGTACCTGTTATATTTGTTTGTAAACATTTTTATTGTAAACCGTGTAGCAGCAACGCTATTCGAGTGAGGGGGAGTGTTGTAGAGCCCTAATTATTTAATAAAAAAATACTAGTTTTGATAGAGTGCGTAGGGACTGGAGAGAACACGTTGTCATGGCGTTGCCGCTAACACGGCAAAAAAAATGATAGCTGTCATGTTGAAAAAATATATAATTACAAATTTATTTTCTATGAGATTTCTTTAACAAGTAAGGAGTAGAAAACCATCGTCTCAAGACAAAAACGTTAATAGTGTTTAATATGTGTGTGAGGCTGTGTTTGTCCTAATATAAAATGCTAATAAATAGCTGGTTGGATGTCGTATAAAACACGTGACTATGAAAAGCAGAAAAAATAAAACAGCTATTTTTTATTTAAGCTTTGAGGCATATTGACTGCGCTAATCATTAACGCCTAATGAAAACCCACTATTAATTTTAATAAAGTAAATTAACCAGGTATACAAAAAAAGACACACATATAGAGAAGAACATCTCTACTGGCAAGTGTTATAATTTTCTATTGTAGTCCACACCCTTGAAGAACATCACTGTATTCTCTATATGTAAGTAGTCATTCAGATTATCCTGCAGATCTCTTTCAATGTAATAATATGTAAGTCTTTGTTGTTCAAAAACAGGGCAGCCAATAATGGCGTGTTGTGTGTGTTTAATTATAAGTATTTTATTACACGCATCGACTGGACGTGTGTCACCGCTCAACAAATGTTGGTTCGTAAAGGCAGTATGCAGTAGTTCAATTCGCATTCGGTGTACCTTCACATTATCTATTCTTTGTGTCACTTTTTTAAGGCTGACTTAAATTATTAATAATTATATGTTTTTTTTTTATATTAGAACACTTTATGGCGGAGACCAGGGAGTCCTGTTGAGACAGCCTCTAATGCAGCTATATCCGCAAATTTGTTTCCTGATATTCCAATATGTCTTGGGATATAGATTAGTGTTACAGTAAATAAGTTTTTCTTAATATATCTTAGTAATGATACGATCATCTTGGTTCCAGGATCATTACTGCTTCTATCCAAAATATAGGGCACTTAAGGAATCAGTAGCAATTAAAAAATATTTATGTGTGAGAGACATTGATATCTACAGAATAGCTATCCATATTGCATATTGTTCTGCATGAACGCCCATTCAAACTCTATGAATGCAATTGCCCATAAATTACAAAGGCACAACTAACTCTATCATATGTCTTATATACAGACCATCTGTATATACCCAAGAAACATTTTTTGTTTTATAAGTGTGTTAGGAAACTTCCCAACACACCATATTATACAACCTAAACGCATCTAGAATGGTTGTCGTGAGATATTGGTAACCATTATATAACACTTATATGCCCTAAATGGTGCCTTTTATAACTGTTCCTGTGGTAATCCTTAACACTCAAGGTGTGCAACCAAAGTCCTGAAAACTTTCTCAACACCTTTATATATCCTATCGAGTTACCGCTATAAAACTGAAAAAGGGTATATAATAGTTATAGAGTGGTGTTGAGAAGGTTGCCAGAGATTACTTCCATAGAAATATCGCGCATGCGCGTTTTTTGAAAATAAACTTGTTTCTTTCTGACTAACTACTTTAATATTTGCCTCTTTTTTAACATAAAAAGCAGATATGATCTTATTGCTCCAAGTTGTCCTACGCAGATAATCCAGACCAGACACAAGAGACGAAATGATGCCATCCCTGTCTTAGCCTACAAAAGCGTTTGCGTTATGCAAATGACTTTATAGAAATTACTGGCTTAATAAAAACTAGTGTGCCTAGCCAGAGTACTAAATACATATGCGATATTAAATTTACTGTGTGAAAATCCCCAAAAGCAAAATTATTTAATAGATTTTTTTATAAACAAAAAAAAATTGTAAAATGTTTGTAATGAAAGTCAAATTTATTAATATAAATAATAGAACATACGACTTTTTAATACATAGAAATAACTGGCCACTGGCCAAAATATAGTTTTTTACCAGTTTTCAACGTTATCTTAGAAATACACACTGTAGCCAAAAATGAAGACATCAATAATAATGGCGTCCATTATATGGTTCTTAATAACACCTTTAATTATATAGTGTATATCTTGTGCACCGTTATAACACCTGTATTATTTGTGATATTAATTACACGTTGATTTATTATTTAATACAATCTATTCAAATGTACAATTATAGTCACTAAACCTAATTGGTGTTTTCTTAATTCTATGAGATCTTTTATCGTTAATTATAAAGTTATGATTGTTATTAATTTTTTGTTGCTTTCTTTGACTAGTATCTTTTATTAAATATATCTGGTTGCGCTCTATAACTGAACCATTACATAGCTTAATAATAAAAGTACGAGGCTTATGCGAGTTATTAATTATTTTCCCTGACACCCATTCAGATTTATCCTGCTTTTGTACTCTAACCTTATCTCCCTTTTTAAATAAAACATTTCTGAATTTAACATGCTTATCATAATTTTGTTTTTGTCTATTTTGTCTCTGTAATAAATTTTGTTTAATGACATTATTCTTATTATAATTTACATTATTACAAAATGTTGGCATCAAACTAGTCGCTTCTCTATTAAATAAAATTTCTGATGGTGATGGTAGTTCGTTATCCACAGGAGTTGTTCTGTACTCTAACAGACATAAGTACAAATTTTTATTATCATAGTCTGCTTTCTGCATCATATGTTTAAAACTCTGTATGCAACGCTCTACCATACCATTTGACTGTGCATGCGTTGGGCTTGATGTTATATGTTTTATACCCCAAGCATTCACAAAATCTTTAAATTGTTCTGAACTATAATTAGTTCCATTATCTGATCTTAAGATTTTAGGAATTCCATGTCTTGCGAAAAATGACTTTAACGATCTTATAGTATAAAAACTATCTATTTTTTCTAAAAGTGATGTTTCAATGTATTTAGAAAAATAATCAGTTACAATAATATAATTTTTTCCCTTAAAATTAAATATATCTGTACCTACTGTAACCCAAGGTTTATCTGGAATATTTGAAGGTATAAGAGGTTCCTTTGGATTACTATGTCGAAAATTTAAACATGTATCTTGTTCCATTCAAAAACAGTGTCTTTCTTTATTAATTGTCTTAAGTCAGCTGTTGACTCTGAAAGCTGTGGAATGAATTTTGATACATATGTTACCATTCCCAGGAAACGTTCAACATCTTGTTTACATTTTGGTGGTGGCATTTCTACTATGCTCTTAATCTTGTCTGGATCTGGCCTGATTTTTGAAGAACCAATCACATGCCCTAAAAACTTGACCTCCTTTAAGTTAAACTTACATTTATTTTTGTTAAATTTTATATTTGATTCTTGTGCTCTTTTAAATACCCTGCTTAAATTTTCGTCATGCTCTTTTTGATCTTTTCCATATATAAGCATATCATCAATGTATGAAATTTGACCAGGAATACCTTCAAAAATTTGATCTCTCTTTGAAATCTCTTATGAAAAACCTCTGGTGCTGATGCTATGCCAAAAGGTAACCTTGAGAACATATATCTACCAAATGGAGTAGCAAAACAGCATAATTTCTTGCTTGCCTCATCCAATGGTATTTGATAGAAACCACTATTAGCATCTAAAATACTGAAAACTTTTGCGTCATTTACTTGTGTTAATATTTCTTCAACTGTTGATATTTGATAGAACTCACGTTTAATTACTTTGTTAAGTTCAACCGGATCTAAACAAACACGAATTTTGCCATTAGGTTTCCTGACAACTACCATGGGATGAACCCAGTCAGTTGGATCATTTATTTGTTCAATTATTTTAAGACGTACTAACCTATCTAATTCAGATTTAACTTCATTTTTAATTGACATTGGAATTTTTCTTGCATTAAATACTACTGGTGTTGCGTCTTTATTAATTTTAATGTTATGTGTATCTTTTAAACAACCTATTCCACTAAAAATATCAGAATATTTTTTCAATAAATTATTTTCTTTAACCTCATTAATTCTTTGTATCAATTTTAAAGTCTTACATGTTTCTAAACCAAGAATAGCTGAACATACTTTTGTCGTATCTACCACGTAAAAATCTAAACTAACTTTCCCTGATTTATTTTTTACATTCCCTAACAACGTAATTTTGCCTAGATTATTTATTTCTTGGCCATCAAAATTATATAATTTTACTTTAGATGGTTCTAATTTAACATCAGACAATTTATCTAAATTACGCTTAGGAATAATATTTGCCTGCGCCCCTGTGTCTAGTTTAAACTTTATAAATACCTTTTTGTCTTTATTTTGTAACTCTAACACCTCTGTCCAATCTTCCTTCTCACTGGCTTTTCCCACTGTTCCAATGTACAAATCGTCTTCATCCATATCTTTATTTTCTGGTTTCTGTGACCTCACTTCATTGACTCTCTTCATTTTACACATTTTTGCATAATGATTCTTCTTGTTACACTTGTTGCACACTTTTCCATACGCTGGACATTCATTTATCTTGTGCGAATTTCCACATCTGGTACACTGATTTATAAAGTCTTTTTTGTGGATTGTTCCATCATTTTTGCTTGAAGTGCTTGGCTTCTTATCATTTCTCTTTACTCTCTCTTTTTCTTTCTTATGTATCTTGTCCACTTGTACTGGTGCATCGGACTCAATTTCCTTGGTTCGGTTTAAAGTAATTAATGCTGCGTGGCAAAGATCAATACACTTATTTAAATTTAAATCAGCTTCTCCTAGTAGCTTCTCTCTTAATTTATTGTCTGTAATACCACATACTATTCTGTCTTTGATCAAGGAGTTTCTTAGTTTCCCAAAATCACAAGTTGCAGATAATGCTTTTAAATCAGTTACATATGCGTCAAAACTTTCACCTGCTGTTTGATTTCTTGTAAAGAATTTATGTCTTTCAAACGTTAGATTGGTCTTAGGCACAAAATATCCATTAAACTTTGTAATGAGATTGTCGTATGTAAACTCATTTTGCTTCAGCTCGAATGAATTATATATTTCTATTCCATCACTTCCCATACAGTGTAGTAATAGATTGCATTTTCTATTCTCGTCTGCAGCAATCCCTGATGCGTTTACAAATATCTCGAAGTTTTGTTTGAACTTAGGCCACAGGTGAGCCGCATTACCTTGTCTAACATCAAAATTTGGCGGTTTCAATTCCATTATTTATTTTCTTATTGGTTTTCCGACTGCGCCATGTATTATTTGTGATATTAATTACACGTTGATTTATTATTTATATTTATTTATTAACTTATGTACAGGTCAATGTACAGGTAGCATAAACTTAACTTAACGTGGACTTCACCTAACCTCCACTACGTTCCCGCGCTCTCACTGTTGCGTCCTTGTCCAATTCCACAGAGTAGTAACCGCACTCATCACAACACTATATACATATTACCACAACACCTAATACCAGAAGTTATATAAAATAGATGTGAACACCTTTATAAAACCTCATTATGAAACCTTTAGTAACAGGGACCTCTAGTTTTATAAGGAAAGTGATAAACAACATTTCAAGGTTACTATTAGTGATAAGTAACCAACCGCTACACTTATATAAAGCAAAACACTGTAAGATACCAATGATACAATAATTAAACCTTTATATAACTAACCTTGAGAATATATAAGCTAAAGGAACTTAAAATGTTACTTGGGATACAGATGGTTCAAGTAACCAAGACTCTAAGGTCATATATGTCTTGGTATTCACTAGAGTAGAAGACTTATATTAGATAGACTATATTACGGGAGGTTTAAAATTGTTATCTTACATGTTCAGGTCCAATCTTACATCTAAATAAGTTAGAGACCAAGGGATTCCCTCGAATAATACTGCAAGGAGATGCAAACTCCGAGCAGTTCTCACAAACTCTACATCAGGAAATATAGCATAATACTTCAGGTGATATGGTTTAGCTATAACATTCATTGCGTAATTGATTATGATTTTTTGCCGTCTCTATCGTTAAGGAGAATAACCCCGATTCTTCGTAGAGCTTTTGTATTGGACTGCCGGCAAACGCTCCCATGCAATATATCATTCAAATGTGATGTATCGTATCTAGTCGCTTCAATAGGCAATGACGAATATACTTCTGACGAGTAGTCGAGTCGAGAAAAAAATAATGTAATAGGTTTAAGTTTTTTTTTTGTTAATAAAGTAGTAAATATGTATTAAAAATGTTGCTTGTAATTATTTCTCTTTAGAATACTAAAAAATATAAAAGCGGTAGGGAATACCGTTTAGCTATAACATTCATTGCGTAATTGATTATGATTTTTTGCCGTCTCTATCGTTAAGGAGAATAAATCCGATTCTTCGTAGAGCTTTTGTATTGGACTGCCGGCAAACGCTCCCATACAATATATCATTCAAATGTGATGTATCGTATCTAGTCGCTTCAATAGGCAATGACGAATATAATTCTGACGAGTAGTCGAGTCGAGAAAAAAATAATGTAATAGGTTTAAGTTTTTTTTTGTTAATAAAGTAGTAAATATGTATTAAAAATGTTGCTTGTAATTGTTTCTCTTTAGAATACTAAAAAATATAAAAGCGGTAGGGAATACCGTCACGCGCCCGGTTGTGTGATTTTATGCGCCTGTCGAAGTATGCGCCTGTCGGAGGATTAATCTCGGAGATGTGTTTTTCGGCTGCAGCATATTGAAGTAACAGAGGTCTTCCTGTTGAACATACTGCATTTTGTTTTTTTCAGTAATAGCTCCAAGAATAAAGAAGTAATGGCTATTGCAATCCTAAAGAGAATCCAAAGGTCCTAGTGGATAGGTATTAGGTCACTTGATACAGACAGACAACCGATATAGATCATTTTTTGTTCATTCTTAAAAATCTCAGACGAACGTTCAATCTATTAAATATGAGTGATTAAAAATGTTTAAAATCTTAAAAGATTGCTAGCCAGGCAAAATCCGCAGGCGGGATCAAGCGCGGTTTTAGGGGAGGGGTAATGGGGGTAATTACCCCCGCCCCCAGACCAATCAAATTTAAAAAAAAAGTTTTTAACACGTAAAAAACAATTTGTTGTAAAAAAATAGATCTTTTTTTACAATAATATTGTTATTGTGTTAGCGACAACGCCATGACAACGCGTTATCCAGTCCCTACGCACTCTATCAAAGCTACTATTTTTTTTTATTAAATAATTAGGGCTCTACAACAACACCCATACCCAGGGCTAGATTCAACTACGAGAGCTATCATTTCGGCCACAAACAGGGCCGGCAAAATAACTTGCAATTATTGCAAAACATGATTAGGTGAAAGATAGAAAATTAAATAATTAATTAATATTGATAGGGTTATTATGATGGTAAGTGTAGAAAGTTTTAACTAGTAAAATTATTAATTAGGACGTAGGAGGACGTAACTACCATGCGTACATATTTTTATATGTACAGGGTGAGCCAAATTGGACGCTTTTAAAAGGAAACACCCTTTTTATAGGAGATAAACGAAACTTAATATATGCCTGGAGCACAGTTTTTACCAAAACCGTGATGCCTGCAACCGCACATCAATATTTGTTACTGTTTCGGAGTTACGGTTTTTTTTTCAAAAATGTACATTTTTACCAAATCGCTATAACTTTCTTGCAATGGAGAATTATGAATTTTTATGAAAATATTTTCAAAGCACTTTTTTTGCGTAGAATTTAATGGTTTAAGTATAATTTTTGTAAAATTAACAATTTAGGAATTATATATATTGAAAATAATTTAAAATTACCTTTCCAAAAATATAGCATACTTGAGAATTTGCTCGATTCCTCTTCGAGATGAGATATAGTTTTTAAAAATTCGCTTACTTTGAGTAAGTAGGCTTTGAACGGCACCGGCTGAAAAAATTCTAGCTGCGAGCTGCAATTGAAACGAAAATAATATTTGCATTGAGGGGTGCAGAATTTTATAACAATTTAAACTATATTTAACAACATCAACATATTTAAACTATATCTAATAAAATTAAAACTAAATAGCAAACCAAGACATGAGGTTTTGCTAATTTTAGAACAATTTAAACTATATTTAACAACATCAACATATTTAAACTATATCTAATAATAAAAATAAATAGCAAACCAAGACATGAGGTTTTGCTACAAGTGTTCGACATGTCCGACCGTCTTCTGTTATGGACAGACGGGACCGTTTTTGAACATTTCTCGCGGAAATCTTTAACTCAGTGGGGATGAAAGATACTCTCGTATAACCGATAAGTACTTTTAATTTTTGTCTAGATTATACGGTCAATTTGTCTAGATTATACAGCAAAGATAAAATCTATAGGAGCTAAGTCCGGCGGCTTCGACGGCTTCGACGGCCAATCGCTGGGCTCGTAATTTAGCTATTCAATTATTCTGATATATTCAGATCAAATCATATGTTTTCGAGTTATGTTAGGGCAGAAGCGCTACTAGGGTGGCGCTAGGATTGGTTAGGTCGTATAAAATTGGGTATAACCTTAAATCAATATTATCTTATAGTGACGTACATCCCCCCCAAAAAAATACTTAACCCCACTTAAAAGCTTGTGTCTAGTTGCGCCCCTGCATTAGGGGCAGATCATCAAGAACTATGCTATAACAAAATATCAAGTGTGTTATATTTTTGGAAAAGTAATTTTAAGTCCTTTTCAGTTAATTAAAAATATACAAGCTGTCTAAAAAAATCAATTTTTCTGTTGATAACTCTTAAATTATTAATTTTAAAAATATATAGTTAAACCGTTAAATTCTATGTAAAAAGATGATTTAAAAAGCTTTTCACACAAATACAAAATTTTCCATAGCAAAAGAGTTAGAGCGCCTTATTAAAAATGCACATTTTTAAAAAACATTCCGTAACTCCTTAACGGTAACAGATATCGATGTGGGCATTTCACCGTCATGTTTTTGATAAAAATTGAGCTCCAGATATTAGTCTTTGTCTATCTCCTATAGAAAAGGGTGTTCCCTTTAAAAGCGCCCAGTTGAACCCAGTCTGTACTCACCAGCAATACCAAAAATACAAATTACAAACATGATGGGATCTAACAGACATATTTTTTAACAGACAGCGCACGGGTTTATTTCCCACTCTGTGACAATACACTTACATTATGACAAATTTTAAATCTGATCATGTGCACGATGTAAACAATAATTACAGTGGCGTTTGCATACAGTAATCAATGACAAATATGTCTGATCAATTGTGCTGGAAAAAATAACGATCAGACTCTCTTGATACATTTTTGATTTATTTCTTGGCCGAAATAGATGACACTAATGAACTCTCCAAGGTAGTGCCGGACTTAGGTCTAGGCCAACTAGGGCCGGGCCTGGGGCGGCAAATTTTTAACATACCAAAATATTTATCTTTTATTTATTTACTTAACTATTATTATTGTTTAAATATATAATTCGCTTGGGTTATTTTTTACTGCATTGTGCCTTGCATCCAGTTAATAAATACATAAATACTTCGAATATAAAAAAATAAATTCAAAAACATTAAAAAAATTATCAAAAACACGTTGGTCTGCACGAAATGAAGCTTGCCAATCACTATCTTTGTCTTCCAATGAAATAAAATCCACGTTGGAGTCAATTTCTGAAGACGATACCGAAAAGCCTAAAAACCGATTAGATGCTTCTAGTCTCCTGAAACAATCCAAAAGCCTAGAAATGGGTTTTATGGCAGTATTTTGGACAGACGTTTTAAATAGATTAGATGCGGTCAATAAAAAGCTTCAAATGGTGGATATTGATCTACAACTTGCTGCAGATTTATATTTTTCTGAAATTGGAAATCTAGATAATACTAAATCATTTGAGGAATATGAAAGAAGGGCCATAGAATTGTTCGGTGAGAAAGAATATGCGCCAGATAAAAAGAGAAAAGTGAAACGGAAACGACAATTTGATGAAACCAGTGATAATGAGACTCTATTTAACGCTAGGGACGATTTTAGGATAAATGTATTTAATGTTATTATTGATAAATTAATCCTTGAAATTTCTTACAGGAAGAGTGCCTACAATGATTTTTCAACGAAATTTGGTTTCTTTAGTGATTTATCTACTTTAAGTATTGACGACATTACAGATAAGTCCAGACATTTAATAACCTGTTATCCAAATGATTTAGAT